CCCTCGGTCGGTCGGTCGCGCCGAGCCGTTCGTCAACCGCGGCGGCCATTGGCGCCGACTCGCCGCGGTGGCGAGCGGACGTCGCGGCCTCGGGAATCGGGCGTCAGCCGCGATGCTCCCGCCGTCGGGAGACCGGATGCGCGTCCTTCCGCGCTCGGGATGTCGGACGACAAGCCCGTCGGGGTGATCGAACGAATCGACAACTATTTGGATCGCGGATTCATCGTTTGGAGCCAAAGGCCGTTGCCATTCTTGAACGGTCGTGAAAGCGAGCTGCTTTTTTTTCTTGTTTGCGGGCGACGTCACATTCCACCTATACGGCAAAACGTCAACTTTCCCATCGAAGCGACGCTCCCGTTTTCAACGGGGAACTCAACGGGAGGGCCGCGACCGCGTTGCGCGGCCCCCCGCAAACAGCGGCGTTATTATTTGAAAAGGAAAACATCAAAGGTCAACGTGAGCGTCGGACCCGGCGAAGGTTTGGGCGGCGGAAAGCATCAACGTCTCGGACTTACGACAAGATGGCGGACAGCGAGAAGAGTTCGGCGGTGAGGTACGCCAGGTAGACCATCAGGAAGACGAAGAGCGGCTCGATGATTCGAACCTTTTTGGTGAAGCGCGTGATGAAGCTGAGGAGGACGGCGAAGACCAGACCCACCAAGGTCCCGCCCACGCTGACCACCAGGAAGGACGCTGGCGCGGGCGACACAAAAAGGCCCCGTGACTTGAGCTCCTTGGGTCGGTTTTTTTTTTTTTTCTTTCTTTTTGCCTCCTCTCACCGATCCCTTTGAAGTAGTCGGCCGTCTGCACGTTCTCCACCCCGACTTCCACAAAGGAAATGTAAACCTTGTACAGCACCTGAAAGGCACAAAGAGACGAACGAGCGTCCGGCTCGGAACTCTCAGCGCTCAACAGATCGCCAATGGTTATTTGTTCCGAAACAAAGCGGTTCGTGCGCAAATGAACCGCTGACGAAACCACACGGGAACTAGCAGCTCGCGCAAAGGGACGACGTGACGCGAACACCAAAGACAACATCCACTCAAGGACAAAAGAGCCGCACACGCGAAAACCGAAGCCCGCCAACACCGACGACGCTTCCATGTTGCAAAGCGCGGCCGAGCCATCGAGCGGCGTCGCCGTCGACGGCTCGCTCGTTGGAGTCGGGCGGAGGCGTAAACCGGCGCGGGCCGGGTCAATCTGGTCCGCTTGCCGGCGGGATTAGCTCATATTCGGAGTTCTGATGAGGATTAGCGACGGGCGGCTTATCTGCTCAAAACTTTAATCGTTCGACGCCACGCCGCCAATCGAGCCTCCGATGCCGTGGAAATCCGCGACGGTTGTCCCTGGACCGGCAGACCGGGGCGGCGCTCGTCGCTCCGGCCGGACCGCCGTCCCGAGACCTCTTAAGGAAGGCTACGCGGCGGGACGGGCGTCAAAGGCGACGCGGGACGCAAAAAGGAGATCCGCGCGCAAGCCTCCGCCGCGAAGGGGTCGCCAGGTCCGTCGACCGCGACCCGAGATCCATGTTGAACTTCACCGAGGCCCGAAGCTTGCGGACCACCAGTTCGGTCTGCCGTCTTCATGCACCCATTTTTATGTGACGACTTGGTAAAGGCGAGAAAGGGGGGCGAGGGTTCCGTGGCTCGATTTGACTTTTCCCCGCCCAAATGATTTGGCTCTTCCTTGAGACTCGACGCCATCTGTGCTCGGAGTAGCTGGCGTCCTTGAACGCGTCCTTGGGACGCTTGAGCGATTGCGGCGTGACGCTGAGAACTCGCAAGTGGGAAAAGGGGACGGATCGTTGCCCGCGGGGGGGGTGGACGAGTTACGGCCACAACTAATAAGAATGTCGGCCGATGACGAACGGCGAGCTCGACGAGCCATCCGTGGGAACGTCACGGTCCAGGGCGCATTCCTGGCCCTCGTCCGCGGTCGCCGGGATTTAAGGCCGGTGACGGAAAGGTCACGGTCGCCAGGGGATCCGCCGTACGTCGACACGGTTCCGGCATCCGCCGGCGGTCCGGGTTCCTCCCGGGCGACCCGCTGGCGCTTGGCTCGTGGGAAACGCCCGGAGCGGCGGCGCCTCGGGGTTCGGACCGCCGCGAGAGCCGCCTCGGAAGCGGGCCGAGTTGCGCATCGGGACCTTTCCCGCGGCCGTCCCCGCGACCCGCCCGCCCGACAAAGGGGCCCGCCCGCTTAAAGAACGGACTTTGGAACTTTGCGCGTCACAACGGTGAGAGTATGCGTGCGCGCGTGCGTGTCATCACCACGGTGACGGCGTCATTGAGCAGCGACTCTCCGAAGACGATGATGAAGAGCATGTCGTTGACGTGAACCTCCTCGAAGACGGCCAACACGGCCACCGGGTCCACGGCCGAGATCAGCGCTCCGAACAGCAGGAAGTCCATCAGGCCCGCCTCCACGCGCCGGTCTGAGAGGGCGACAAGAGACGCGCGGAATGGCACGCGGACGAATTTGCGAGGCGAGGCCGGGCGAGGCGGGCGAGGCGGCTGACCGATCAGTCCCACCAGGCTGGCGGCGTGAAGCGCGAACCCCGTGCAGAAAGCGTTCCACAGCGTTCCCGCCACGGCGTAGGTGAGGATGGCGCCCAGGTTGTCGAAGAAGAGGCGGGCGGGCATGAAGTAGCCGGCGTCGCCCACGATGGTGGGCAGCAGGAAGAGGAAGAAGAGGGCGGGCTCCAGCTGGTACAGCTGCTTCTCGTTGGCCAGCAGAACCAAGCCGCCCAGCGCCAGACCCAGCAGGATCAGCAGGCAGCTCTCGGGAACCACCGTGGTGAAGCGCTGCGACAGGTGGAACACTGACGGCACACCCGCCGCGTCGTCATTGGGGTCACACAACACGCTGTGCGTTTGTGTGCGTGTGTGTGTGGCGGTGAGTCGTCAACGTGTGCGTGAAGCCGTGACCGGCATGTAGCAAAGTTGTCCCGGCCATGCCTTCAAAGGGGTCCAATTCTTCCCAAGCACCTCGAGGTGGCCACTTTGAGGCCGGAACAAACCGCCGCACCCGCACCCGCACTCCGAAATTTGCGTATTTGGGGGATGCCGGCAACGACCGCCAAGTGAGCCCCGCAGCGAGAAACATGACTCGTCACTTTGATCGGGACCAGGTAACTGTCATGGTCCGTGACGTCATCGACTCCACCTGAGTGCGTGCGTGCGTGCGTACTCACGGATCTTGGCCACGCTGGCCACCAGGAGCCAGACGGCGATGACGTATGGGGTCTGCACGTACGTCCACTCCCACTGGACCACGCGGTACCCCCCGCCGCCGTGGTTCCGATGCTCCTCTGCGGCGGCGGGAGACGAGCCGGGGATGCCGACGGTACCGCCGGCGGCTCCGGAAGCCACGAGCGCCGGCAGCGGAAGCAGCAGCAGCAGCAGCGCCGTGACGCGCACGCGCACGGGCACCAGCGCAGGCATGTTCCCGCCGAGCCCGGGGCGTCCCGGCGCCGCTTATAAGCGCGACGGCCCCCGGTGAGGAGAGGTGGGGGCGGGGCCGCCGAGTCACGTGGGCCCGCCGCCTTGGCGGAGCCCGCCTCGTGACGTCAGCTCTCCTTTTAAACCGGAGCCCCGCAGCGCCGCCGACAATTCGGCCGCGGGACCGTTTGGACACTTTTTCGACTCGCTTCGTCGAGACGCCCGCCTGACCTTCAACGCGCAGACACACACACACACACACACACACACACACACGGGGTGTGCGAGTCTCTCCAATTAGTAGTCGACAAGTGTGTTCCAAATTCATTTATTCTACTTGCATGTTCACCCAGTAAACAATTACAACAAACTTTCATTTCAGTTAAAAATGTTAAAAAACAACCCAAAATAAGTCCTTTCATAGTGGAAGTGGAAAGTGCCCCCCCTCCCAAAAAAAAAAGACCGAAGTTTTCAGTGATGTGTGCGCGCGCGCGCGCGCGCGCACACACACACACACACACACACGCAGCTGTGTAGCATCAGCTAAGTGCTAACTTCGTGGGGAGCAAAACTTGTCAAATGTTTGAAGACAGACGTGCTTCGGACCGCGGCGTGCCAAAAGTGTCATTTTCCAAGCTTGTAAGCGTGCCTTGTCCAAAGAATTCAAGTTGCGGAAAAAAAAAAACCTCAAAAAATGTTCAAGTCTTGCTTCTGCCACTTGACTGACAGGGCAAAATGTCCAGTTTTTGGACATTCTGGCATCAGAAGTCCTCGCCGCTCCTGTTGAGGCCCAAAGCCTGGACCACGTCCATGCTGACGCCGCTCTTCAGAGTCCTCCTCACTGCGCACACGCGTCAAACATGTCAATCGCACGCCAAACTTTGCTCGCTCGAGAACAGGGGTGGCCAAGCCGCGGCCAAAGAGCCGCATGCGGCTCTTTGGCCGTTTCAATGCGGCTCCCGGGCTTTCACATGACAAGCTTGAAAATGCCTCGGCGGTGTCGCTGCCATTCAAACAACGGCTCTAAATACACAGAACGAACGACGTCAGCCTATCATGAATCCCGTTACTTGAATGACATACGGGGCAACCAATCAGATGACAAATAAATCACCGCTCATGCGCAAACAACGGTGCTCAGCGCTAAGCGCTAAGCTTGTCAGTTTCAAAGGTAGGGGCGCCCAATACGTCAATTGCGATCGACCTGGAGCCGGCGGACTGGTCCCAAGTCGAGCGCGAGCGTTGGGAGGAGGATATCGGGGGAGGGGGGGTGTCTGTGTGTTTCGGTTTCGTTCATGTTCAGTGAACCCGCCTGTAAAAAAAAAAAAAATGGTCTCTTCATCTCTGACTGGTTGGCCACCCCTGCTCTCGAATCATTAGCATGCGAACGAGCGCGGCGGTCACAGAGTTGGAATCGCCGGGGAATTTTCACCAGAGTTCATTTTCACTATTGTGGAGCAAAAAGCGTGACGTTCTCCGAGACGCGGCATGTGCGCGCGCGATGTTTGGTGGGGCAACGCGTTTGTCTGGAACTTTTGTCGTCAAACAGACGCAAACCGAGATGGCCGCCGCGATGTCCCCGGAAAGCCGCTCAGACGACCGCCGCTCACTTGCTAAGCGCGACGATGGCTATCGGCTGAGCTGGGATTAGCGTCCTGCGTGTTGTGACCGCAACACCGACCGCGACGCCGAGCCCAAACACGGCAACGCGCGCGCACGACGACCTCGTTGGACAAATCAAATGAGCTCGGTCGCGGACACGGTCTTGAAATTCAGGACCGACGCCCCCCTTCCCAATTCTGCCCGACGTCATCGGCACGCTTACTGGACTTCCTGTTGAGTCGGGACCGCTTTCGGGCCTTGGGACTGGACGTCCTGGCCGAGGGGTTCCGGGTGACCGACTTGACCAGACGCTCCATGATGTCGTCGGCGGCGTCGTCATCCTGAGGCGGCGACGACGACGACGGCGAAGAAGACGGACTCTGGCGGCCCGCGCTCGCAGAATCTGCCGCGGGCAAACTGGAGTCAGAGACACCACAAAAACGTCCGCAGAAACGACGAGCAGGAAAAGCCACCGCCCCGTTCAAAACCAGATGCGGAAGCGACCGACAAGCGCGCCGTTCTCGGCGGCGCGTCGGCCGAGCGGGCCGGCTTTCCGGCTTCATCGAGGACAGGGACATTTGATCGGTTCTCACCGCGGGTGGTGCGCGAGCGCCTCGGCGCTCGCCGATCTTCGGTCAGCATCCGGGTCATGTTCTGGTGCTCTGCCTCCTGTCCCGGCTCCGGCGCCGCAGAGACGGGGGCGGGGCTGTCGGAACGCGGCACCGCCCCCGAGAACTTCTCCGTCTGCGACCCCGGGACGGAAGCGCGCGTTAACGCGTGCGGGCGCGGACGGGCGCGTTTGCGCACGCGCGTTTACCTCCGTGATCATCTTGCCTCGCGTTTTAGTCCTCTCTCGGTGTTTTTCTCTCTTGCGCTTGAGCATCAGCACCCTCTCTCGCGTGGTGCGATACTCCAGCGAGAACTCACTGATGATGCGGCAGAAGGAGGTGACCTTGGTTTCACGCACCGACGCCGCCGGCTGACCCAGGAAAAGCAGGAACGAGTGGAACCTGACGCGCGCACACACACACACGCGCGCTGAGCCCAGCATTCATCTTGACGATCGTTGCCGGCAAACAACAAGAGCAGCAACGGGAAGAAGAGGCCGACACAACCCGAGGCTGCCGTTAGCCTCCCTGCTTTTTCAACTCCTTTCGTCATCGCTCCAAAAGAAACGTTCCAAACTCGCCAGCCGCCCTCTGGCGATGTTCGCCTTCACGGTTCGGTTGAGCAGCGGAGGCGGTCGCGCAAACGCAAGCGGAGCCCCCCCACCCCGACGCGAGCGAGATGGGCCGAGCGCTCGGCGCCACGCTGACCTGTTGACGACTCTCCTGTGGACCACCTTGAGGATGACGATCCGCTGCGTGCAGTCCTTCAGGAAGTCGGCCATCTTGTTCTTCAGAGCGCTTTTGGTCTCGTGCTTGGAGACCACCTTCAGGTTTTCCCAGGACGCTTTGCAGCGTCTCTCCAGCTGCACCAGATTCTCGGCCAGAAGCTCAAAGTCCACCTGAGAACGAAACGGCTTGAAACGAGAACAGGACGGGAACGCCGGCGGTCGGGAGAGCGGAAAGAAATGAAACAAAACCCGGGGGAATGACTCAAAAGAACGAGGTACGGAGATAGCAAATGAAGGGGGGGAAAAAAAGTGACAGATGTCAACTGAAAGGAAGCGCAAAAAGAAAAAAAAGGGAGAGGGAAAGAGAAAGCCGTAACAAATGAGACAGCCGACAGACTCGTGGAGTGAAAAAAAAAAAAGATGACAAATAAAAAGACATTCATTCCTGCAAAAAAAAAAAAAGAAATTGGGCGAGAGGCGCACGCGAACGACGGGGCACCTTGGCCGAGCGCGTGACGGCGGGAATCTCGGAGTAGACGTCGGAGGATTGCGGGGGGTTTTCCGTGATCAGGTTGCAGGTGTGATGAAGCAACGACTGCCTGTGGACCGTGTCCTTCACCTCGGCCACCTTCTCCAGGTAGGCCAGCTCAAAACCCGCCGCCTGCACAAAGGACGGGGGGGGGGGTCAAGCGGCGCAGACGCAGACGGGCGAGCGTCGGCGAGCTGACGTGGGAGCCGTTGAGGAAGTTGCCGATGGCGAGCAGCGTGGCCAGGATCCTCCCGAAGGTCTGATTGGCGGCCAGCTGCTCCATGGCCAGCTTCAGGTCAAACAGCGGCTCGGCGATCTCCTGCCGGCCCAAAAGGCGTTTGGGTCACAATCGCCGCGACGGCGCCCCCCCCCGCCCGCCCCACCTTCTCCAGAGCCTCGTAGTTGAGCTTGAAGGACCAGAGCTGCAGGCGGGGCGTCAAGGCGCTGACGGAGGCCAGGCTGGAGAGGAAGCGCTCGGCCGGCCCCAGCGGCACCTCGGGATTGGCCAGCTGGGCCTCCTGGATCTGACGCTTCTCCTCCTCCGTGGGCGTCATGCTCAGGATCTTCTGCGGAGCCAAAGGCAAAGGCAAAGAAAAGGCCCGTCGCGCCGCCGCCCACAACGGTTGCTTTCTCTCTCGCCGCCCTCCAGCGAACGGGCGGCCGTTTCTCACGAGCGCAAAACGGCGGATCTGCGGCGTTTGCTCGGGAACAACTGAAAGGAATGGGGAACGATCATCCAACGGGCCGCCGATGGCCTCGCTTGGCGAGAACGGGAGCTCAACGCTGTTTGAATTCTGCTTGTTCAACGATCTGGGAGGAAGGAAAGAAAAATCATCAAACCCCCCCCCCCGGAGCAATTCGAATGAGGCGCCAACTTTTCTTGACATCGATTTGGGCTCTTTGCTGGGGTCGAAAACGCAGAGCCGGACCGAGTTCAAGCAAGTGCACTTTTGCGCCGGGGCTCCCTCTGCTGGCGCTCGGGGTGTTGCGCACACTTGACTGCAGTTGGCCCGCCTGCCCTCCTTCCTTCCTTCCTTCTTTCTTTCTTTCCTTCCTTCCTTCCTTCCTTCCTTCCACGTTGGCGTTTCATTTTGAAGACGTGTTTGCTTGGAACCACTTCCGTGGCAATTGAACGTTGACACGCACGCGACGTCTCAACCTTTGGCTTTTGAAGCAGTTTTACTGCTCAAATGCTGCCGCCGTGGGGCCGACTCCCCCCGACCGCTCCCACCCATCGGGTACACGCCAAGTTTGTTTCGGAGGCATTTGCCCCGAACAGCTGGAGCCTTTCATTCGGGTGGCTTGCGAAGCGGCCCGGACGACCCATGGGTGAGGCGCGACGTTTGCCCGCGACGCGTCCGCCGGCTCAAAATCGGGCTCCATCCGTGTAGACGGACGTCGGCCGAATCCCGGTTGAGTCACGCTACGTTTAGGCGAGGGCGCTAAGATCGGGTTCGGTGTCGACCGAGTCCAGTTCGGTCGAGTTTGGCTCAGGTCGCTCAAATCGCTCGCGGGCGGTCCCGACCGTCGTCGAACCCCCTTCGCGGCGCGGCCGAGCGATG